GAAGCGGCTTTAGATTCTCAGTGCTGTGCTTTAACCCGCTGCGCCACCAGGGAGGGCCCGGAATGAGGTTGCTTTTTAAACAAAACAGAACTACACGGTCATGTCAGTAGTATCCACTTCAAAAGGGTCATCTTTCTAAGAGATTTTCACTCATTTTAATGATGCCATGCAATCAAAGTATTTTAGTTTAGTTTTCAGTGTAAGCATTTTTTAAAATCAATTTTCAAATCCAGTAACAAATACTGTGCTATCTTTGATAATTTTTCCCCACCCAGTTTCTCTATTAAATAATTTTAAACTTTTTTGAGGCAGTATTAGTTTATTATTTAGAAGATGGGATTCCCCTTCAGATATGTTAGTTGGAATATACATATCATCTTGTATCAGTTTAAGGCATACATAATGATTTGATAGATATATGTATTATAAGCCATCACCACAGTATGTTTAGTTAAAATTCATCACCTCATATTGCCACAGTTTTCTTGTAAGGCATACCATCTTAGCAACTTTCAAATACGCAGTGCAGTCCTATCACCTACAGTCAATATGCTATACATTAGATACTTAGAACGTAGTTACCTTAAAACTAAAAGCTTGTACCTTTTGACTACCTTTACTAATTACCACCTGCCCACTCCCCAACCCCTTTTTGGCAACCAACAGTCTGTTGTATATTTCTATGAGTTTGAGAGTCCATATAAAAGAGAGATCATAAAGTCTGTGTCTTTCTCTGATTGATTTCACCAAGAGCAACCTGCATGTACAATGTTCTGTTTTAGGATGATAACTCCATAACTTTGAACATATGCTGAACCTCCCCTCATGCTTTGTATTTCTGAATTCACATTTTATGTCTTTATATCAGTTTTACCTGATAGTCTTGATGCTTGCTTTAAAAGTGATTGAGCTCCTCCTTTAATTATATAATTATCTTGTCCAGTGAGTATATTTTTGTGTTGTTAGTGCCATATCTTTAGAGTTAAAAAAAGCTCCTTTAGAATTTCTTAAAAGGCCAGTTCAGTGGTGATGGACTCTTCATTTTTGCTTATCTAGGAAATTTTCACTTTCTCCAATTCTGAATGTTAACCTTGGCAGTAAAGAATTCTTAGTTCCTCCTTTCTGTCCTCTGAATATGTTTTGCCACTCTCTTCTAGCCTCAAACGTTTCTGTTGACAAATCTGCTGATAGCTTTATGGGTTCTCCTTGTACATGACAAACTACATTTCCCTTGCTGCTTTTAAGATTCTTTACCATTTATTACCATTTTAATTATCTTCATGCGGATCTTCCAGCATTCCTCTCATTTTGAACTTTCTGGGTTTCTTGTACCTGGATATCTGTTTTCATCTCCAGATTAAGGACATTTTTACTAATTCTTTTTTTTTAAGGTTTATTTATTTATGCATATAGACCTGGGGTACAGACAAGAGGTATAAGACAGAGACAGAGTGGGGAGAAGAACAGGCAGACTGACTAAAATACACTGCTGAGAGGAGCAGTGGGCAAGACAGGAGAGGTCTACACCTTGCAGGTCACTTCTGGGGGGCCAGGAACTCATGTTGAAATGGCTGCAGCTTCTTGGTGCTGTAGTTTAACCCACTGTGCCACCAGGGAGGGCCCCTTACTCATTCTTTTCTCAAACATTTTTCTGGTCCTTTGTTCTCCTTCTGGACCCCTATAGTCCAAACATGACTCCTCTTGATGTTGTCCCAGAGGTTCCTTATGGTACCTTCACTTTTTAAAACTTATTTTTTACATGTTGGTGCTCTGCCTGGGTGAGTTCTCTTGCTTAATCTCCCCGCTCACTTACATAAGCCTTTGCTTCATCCACTCCACTGCTGGGCCCCACTATAGCGTTTCACTATAGCTTTTTCATTGTTTTCATCAGCTCTGTAACTTCTGTCTGGCTCTTAATTTTTCTAATTTATTTCTCCCCCTCCTGAGTGTGGTAAGGATCTTTATGACCATTTCTTTAAAATCTTTATCAGGCGGCTGGCATATGTCCATTTTTTCAATATGCCTTTCAAGAGATTTGTGGTTTTTCATTTAGACATCTGTGTGTTGCCTGATTCTCTGTGCTTGTTCTTGTGTATTAGTGAACTACCTCCCTGGGTTTCCTTTTGGGCAAGGTCTCATGCAGGTACCTTGTCTCGGGTTCTAGGAGCACAGTCCCCCAAGACCACCCAAGGGAGGCATTCTGTGTGTCCCCTGTACTTCCTTCCTGCTGTGTTAGTGTAATGTGTTTGTATGGGGTTATTTGTGTGCCCCACTTAGGGCGGTGGGTAGGCACAGTGGAGGACTACAGCTGTGGAGTGCTGTGTGGATGGTACCATGGGCCAACTGTGGGGCACTGATGTGGTATGGCAGGCATGCGGGGACACACATCCCCCCCCCCCATCTGCGGGTGTGTGTGTGTGTGTGTGCGTGCCTTTTGGGATTGATCAATAGTGGTTCTGGTGTCAGGCAGTGATTCAGGAAACTGTCAGGTATTGGGCACATGGCAGGGGGGAGTGAGGTCTCTGTAGGCATCCCCCACAATCTGCAGTAAGGTGGGGGACAGCTTCCACATAGCATCCATGGACCCTGGAATTAGCAACAATGCTTAAGTTGCCAAGGTTGTGCCAACGTTTCTGATCTGGGAATCATCCCCAAGGGCTCCTTTTCTTCAGGCAAGTGCTCACGGAGTGGCAAATGGGTTTCCTTCATTTCTGATTTGGGCATTTATCAAGTTTGATACTGTGCTATGTGCCTGCCTGGGAAAATCTATGTGCAGGTTCCTTCAGAGTGGGCTCATTTGTTTCTTGTGCTCCTTAAATTCTCCTGAGTGTTTTTTCTGCCAGCCTCAATGCTGGAACTCTAGGGCCTTGTCTTTGCTGCAAGAATGAAAAGACTGAAGTACCTGGTGCAGAACATTGCCTTCCTTCATTCCCCAGGGAAAACTTCTCTCTCTCCTCTCCTCTCCTCTCCTCTCCCCTCCCCTCCCCTCCCCTACCCTACCCTACCCTCCCTTCCCTCCCCTCCCCTCCTCTCTCCTCTCCCCACTGGGTCTGGGAGAGCTTCCTCAGCCAATCTCAGTTGTTCCTCCAGGTCTCACAGCTCCTCCGTGGTGGCATCTCCTGTTTGGCAGGTCTCCTCTCTTGTACATCATCCCATCCATGAGTGCAGATGTGCTGTGTGTGGGGGAGGAGATGTGCTCAGGTCCCTTCCATGCTGCGATCCTGACCTGATTTCTTGAAGCATTTTTGAAACACTTCATTGGGAAACATGCCCAGTTTTTCATCCTTGAATGGTGAATTTGATTTTGTAGAGAATCAAGTCAAGTTTGGTGGAAAATTAAGGTCAAGCCTGGTCGGTAGCGTTACTTTTTATTTGTAGAAATAACCAGGTGCAATTATAAAGTAATATGAATGTTTTATTGTGTAGTTTGAAATCTGGTTCCAAAGCAACTATTAGTGGGCAGTTAAAAAATCCTTTGAGCATGTAGCCTTGGAAGAGCAACCCCACTGCCTCCAAAGATTACTACTTTGAAGCACAACAGTCTTTTTGTGTGAGCTTCAGACTAATAATGTATATACTTCAGTTTTATTTTACCTTAGAAATGCTAAGAATCAATTGGGCTCTTGTTCCCTAATAGTTAAAGTGACTTTTTGGCATTAAAATTGGTGTTCGGAACCCCATTTACTCTTCAAGGCCATTGGGAAATTATTTACTACTTCGACAAATGAATGGGACCCTTAAACACGCTGGAAGGAGCACGAGAGACCTGGGATCTGATTATGTGGATTCAAGTGTGGTTTCATCATTATTAGCTCTGTGGCCATGGTTTATTTACTTAACCCCACTGTTGATTTGTGCACTCTTCACCTGCACTGGTGGAGAAAGAAGAGCTGTTGTACTCTGTTACGTGACTTTACGGGGATGCTGTGAAATGCCGCGTGTACCACACTAACGTTCTATCCTGAACTACTTTCCTAGATCATGCCCGCTTCTTGTGTTCTGCCCCACATTTCTGGAGATTTCTCATTTGCAGATTATTTTGCCATTTTTTCCCTTTACTTTTTTTATGAATGGCTTTTGTATACTGTTCATCTCATTAGCTTTTCCTCCAAAGGAATCAGAACAGAGCTGCAAAGCAAATCAGCCCAATTATTAACTCTTCAGTAACTTTCCAAAAGTCTTGGTAGAAGCAGGCTATGTCAGACACCCATGTTCCTGCTGGTTATAATTTCTACGCGAGTCACAGCTAATGCTGGGCTGATTGTCTACACAGGCTGTGCAGCTCACATTTCAAAACTTCCACACATCTGGGCCTACACACACCCAGCAACTTGCTCCTGGGATCCGTTAGCTCAGGTTAAATGTAGTTGCCAGCACATTGCACTTCCTCTTCTAACAATTACAAAGCTAGAACTGTGGCCCTGAATGCTGAA